ATAAGGAAATATTAAAATTTTCACAAAAATTACTGAAAAATTAAATTCACGTAAAATTTATATTTCTTATTTTTATATGCCCCGGATGTCTCTCAAAACGCTGGAAATTACATTTCCAAGAGTTATTACTTCGAAATTTCCTTGGGGAGGTCCAGACTCCTTTAATACTCCCGCCTTTGGCGGTCGTTAGACGCCCAGATCCAAAATATGTGTCGCGGACCCTGAGATGTGCGTACTAAACAAAACGTCCATGTTACGCGCCTAGTTGGAGTTGTTCGGCGATTGATAAACTGATCTATTGTCGGTTTGCCGCTTTAAGTTGACTATTTCAATGTCTCTCTGATATCATTTAGCAAAGCCAAAGAAGGGTTCCGATCCTCTTTTTGCTGGTCACTCGTGCAAGGAAATCAAAGATCTYGGTGAWTCTCGTGGAGATRGAGAATACTGGATTGATCCTGGGAACACTGGACAACCCTTCACTGTCTACTGTGACATGACTACTGATGGAGGTATTCTATAAATCAAGTTTTTTAACCGTTTTTAATTCTTTTTAATATCCTAAATCTGGCAACAGTTTGGTGTACTGTACGTCATCACGAAGATGATCACGAGCCTCCCTTTGAATAATCTTTATTCCGGCAACTAATGTAAGAATGATAGCGTTATTCACCAAATTAAAACCATGTCTTTAGCATTCCAAACTAAAATGCGTTTTAACAATACTTTTCCAAGCCTACTAAAAATAATTTCTATAGGGTTTACGGTTTGCTGGCGAGCTTTATCAACTGGATTTTTTTATTTTTATTTTTTTAATGCTCTAATACAAAAACATTTACAATTCTTAATACGATTAAACAATTTACAACTTGATGAGCGCCACAATAGATGTGGTACCCTAGAATTTTTTTAACATATATACTTATGATTACAAACAAAAGACAAAAAAATTAACGAAAAAAAGAAAACAAAAGGGAAGAGAGTTAAAACTATCTGAATTTGACAAAAAAAGAACATGATAGCTAAGCTATGACTGCTTCAGATAAGTATGGTAGAAGTTTGTTCCATTTTTCATAATGAAAAGAAAGTTTATTATTTTTTGATGCTATCCTAAGTTCTATGTTGTAGATATATTTTACTCGTTGCGTGAATGATGAAATAGATGGACACGTGTTAGACAAGCTACATTTATAAATGTGATATTTTGCTAATATGATAATACGGTTTATTAATACATAATCATCCTTTTGATCAAATGCTCCTAGGATAATATCCATTTCATTTAGACAGCCTACACTTTCAAAAGTCGATAGCCAAGAAATTAACGTTTTCCAGAAGCCATGTGTTAATTCACATGTGACTAACAAATGCTCCAGAGTTTCAATATGTACAGCACAGAATGAACACAGTGAGGTGTCTGATTTCCCAATTTTATGTAATAAATTCTTTGTAAAAACAATTATGGAGAACCTTAAATTGAAATTCACGAGTCTTACTATCCAAGCAACATTTGGCTTGAAGAGTATAAGCTATGGACCATTGAATTTCTTTTTTAAATTTGTTTTGATAGAGTAATTTTGCGGTGGGTTCAACAACTTTTTGTCCAACAAAAATCCAATATACCTGTTTTGATGAAAAATTTTGACGGGGGACATGTTTTTCATTTAAAAAAATCTTGATTTCATTTTCCCCAGCATTACTTTTTTGTGGTCTGATACTTCTATTTTTATTGGATTTGAGTATTGATCGCCATACGGGAGGGATAGAATGTAGGATACCATTAAGTGTGAGTCTTTCTGTTGCMGATAAAGTATTCAAGAGTGTTAATTTTAACATGCCGTTGAGGTCATAGAGGTCATTGATCTTGTTGATACCCTTAGCAGAAATATTCTTATTGAAAACTGAATGTTTATTTATGCAGATAAACTGATTATTCCAAATTGTTTCGTCTMATATTTGGTTAAATGAGTGTGGTTCATATGGAGGCTTTAACATGGACCACGCTTTAATGCATTCGCCGTAAAAAAAGGGAGGTTTAGTTCGAGCTTTTTATAATTATAGTTACAACTAAAAAGTAGCTTTCCACCAACGTTGTTTAAATAATAGTCTAAGAAAAGTTTCCATGTAGCACAAGACGATCCTATTATATACTTTTTGATACACATTACTCGTTGAGCTAATACCGCTGATTCAACATCGGGCATCTTTAGGCCACCATCTTCAAAAGAGGCAATAAGAGATTTTCTTTTAATCTTGTCTTTTCCATTCCAAATAAAGTCATATAAAAGTTTGTTAATTTCTTTAACGAAGTTTTTATCAACCGACACTACCGAGGAGCAAAAGAGAACTTTGGGGATAATGAACGTTTTGATAACCTGAATTTTTCCGATTAACGTAAGGCCTCTCCATTTCCACATTTTTATTAGATCTTTGATTTTTAATACTATTGAGTGGAAGTTTAGTTTCTTAAAAGCAACTTTGTCATATGTAAAAAATATTCCAAGACTTTTAACTACTGTTTTAACTTCTTCGACTCCTAAATCAATATGAGAGAATTTAGCTGAACCTAGACAAAAACTTTATCAACTGGATGCATTGCAATATGCGGTCTGTTACTTTGGTTGGGTGAGAAAGGAATGACTATCCCAAGTAAAAAGCTGTAATTGTCGTGTTATTTTCTTAACGGAGCTCGTTGATATATGTAAACCACGTGCTATTTTGTTTTTTAGGGTAACCCTGGTTAAATTGCGCTATTATTTCGTCTCGAAGGGCATTCGGTGCGGGTTTATTGTGTAGTCCATTTTCTAATAGAGTTCGAGATTTGAATTGAATTGTGCATAAACCAACTAAAGTTTGAAGACGAAAAATMCAATGAAAAATCCAATAATGAATTGAATAATGGTGTCTCCGGAGGCGCGAATCATGTCTTTTGACTGTAATGAGTCTGGCTGCTTCATCAGTCATTACATTATCTTCAGTGATGATGAGAGATTTTGAATATTACCCATAATCATGCATAATGCATAAACGACGCGGTTCGTCATACGTCAAAGTTCACATGTCATGTAATCCCATTTTTTCACGCTTCTCGTTTGTCCTGCTTGATGAGAACTTCATCTCTATATATTTTGTTTTGTTTTTTAATAGGAGGCTGGACATTGATAATGAGGGCACAACTGCCGACTACAGCTCCGCAACCATTTGTGGTAGAAAAAGAGTATAAGGCCCTTGCAAGCTACACAAATTACAGGCAACGGATCAGATTAGCAGGACTGAAAAACTTAAGAAACGATATGGGATTCCATCAGCTTCGATTTCGATGTCGTAAGAAGAGTATCAACCGAACCATTCACATCATGACCACCAACAACACCGCTGGACACAAAGTACTGGATCACTTCCTCGTCAAGACAACATGGCCGACAGCGTGTGGCTCGTTTGAAAGACTACCAGATGACACGTCGATTCTTGCACGGAATTGCCTGAAGTGGGGTCATAATGGTGGAAACGTCGAGGTGAATCGATGGGGAAGATATACCGGTTATGGAATCAACCGAATACACAATGATGCTATTGTATGGGAAAACAAGTACTACTTTTCCAGCCAGCCATATTATTGTGATGACTTTACTGGAGATACCTATGGAGCACTCAATGTTGGGGACATTTGGGAAATGTTTGTTCGTTAAAGTAAACAAACTGT